TTGAGTATGGCAGGGATACTAAGGCTGGCCCTTCCCGGGAGACCAGGACTTCTCTGATGGTTGGCTTTTGCTTGAGGGCTCCCTACGATCTTGCTGAACCATCCTTAGATTGCAAGGCAGTCTCTTCCACCCAACCTCCTCTCTCCTTCACTTGGGGTCAGTCCAGCGTTGGGTCTGAAGTCTCCCTCCCATTTTCTCTCACACACGTGCTTCCCCTGATGAAGTCTTTGCATACCTAATCTCATCTTGGCATCTGTCTCTCAGAAGACACAGACTAACACACTTGTCATGGGCACCCAAGCAGTAAATGGCACAGCAGGATTCAAACTGTTTGAATGAGAGCTTAACTTCTTATGTTATTGTTTCTTTTTGCTCTCACAAACAGAATTCTGTTTCTCTCCAGTAATCCTATTACTTAGGTTTAAAACAATCAAAATAACAAAACAATATAAGAATAAACAAACAAAACAATTGAATTAGCTGGGGCTGCTATAACAAAAATATCAGAGGGGCATGATTAGTTAGGTCAAGAAGAGAGTCTTTGTCAATACCACAGCATTCATCAGTTTAAACGGTATAATTTAGTGGGTTTTGGTATACTCACAGTTGTGCAACCCTCACCACTATCTAATTCCAGAACATTTCCATCATCCCAATAAAGAAACCTGTACTCATTAGCACTCACTCTCTAGCCCTCTCCCCTCAGCCCTTTATGAAACTTCTCTTGGAGGTCAGACCAAGGTCAGGGCCTAGTAGAGAAGATGGCTCAGAGGAGCCTTCTGTCATATAATGATGCCCCCCCACCACCCACCCCTTCATCCTTGCTGGCCCTGCATAACCCAGTTTTAGCACGATTCCTGCTAAATCAATTTAGACAGAATCCCCCTACTCTTGACATCTGATCAGCCTGGATATCTGATCAAATTCCTCATTCCCCACCCTTGATGTCTAAGCCCTTGGACTATCTTCAGCAAAAATCCTGTTAAATTAATTTAGCAATAATCTCCTATCCTTTATGTCTCCTTTAGTAATTTTTCCATCCACTGACTGTCTTTTCCTTGGCTACAAATTCCCTCCTGCCTTTGCTGTATTTGTTGAGCCTGATCTCTCTCCCCTACTGTGACAGTCTTGACACCTAATGCAATAATCCTGAATAAAATCTTCCTTACCATTTTAACAAGTGTCAGAATAACTTTTTAACAGTGTATAAATTATATCTCAGTAAAGCTCTTATATAAAAAACTAAATAGAAAATCTTGTCTATCTTATACCCATCACTAAACTGTATGTGACTTTAAAAATACCAATCACAAAATATTTAAACACCATTGGTCATCAATTTTCCCAAATCTAGATACAGTTTTTCAATTTAAATCAATCTAAATTAATACCTATCTAATTAGAAGAAAAAATTTAAAAAGAAATATTATAAATCATATATATATAAAATCAATCACTGGCAAACTGTCTATGTTGAGTGTTAGGCTACTTTTTTCCTCCTATGTAATGGTACATATATTCCTTTTCTATTTTTCTTACTTGATTAACTTTTTCAAAATTACAAAGTAATAAGTGCACATTATAATATTTCAAAACAATAGGAATGTGTGAGGAAAAGTGGACAATCTGCCATCTCCCTTCTCCCTTCCTATGATATAACCAATGTTAAACCTTTTGATGTACTGTATATACTTCCACATCTTTCTCTATGCTCTTGCATATATGAATGAGCAGATTTTCTTTATAAACATCATGCTATATACATAATACTGTAACGTTTTTCATTTACCTATATGTATGACAAACATCCCTCAAGATCAATCATACAGTTCGAATTCATTCTTTTTAATAGCTGTACGTTTTGTTTGTTTGTTTGTTTTTTAGCTGAGCCATCCTGTCACCTGTTGGCAGCTCAGCGGCAACTCAGCTTGGGCCGGGAATAGAACCACTGTTGCTAAGAGCTCGCACTCTTGAGTGAGCTCTTAACCTACTGCCGGTGACCGAGAGACCCATCCTGAGCTGTAAAGGAGAGGCTGGTGCAAGGCACACTCTCTGGCTGTGTCCTTAGCAGGGCTGGCGCAGCACCTCAGCATACGGAGGAGGTTTCCAGCACCCACAGGTTTCGATACATTAGGTACTAAACATCTTGAGTCCGATGCATTGGTTGCTAACAATCTGCAGCTAATGCTTGGCAAGTTCCCTGCCCAAGGCTATCTCCTCCACTTTTCTGCCCCCGCATAAGCAAGACTATATTAAAGTAAAGCACGGGGGCTAGACCGGGTCACTGTTCTCCCATCAGGAGACAGCTGTCCACCTAGCCCCAGCTTTCAAGTATTTCTTTGTCTATCTTTCTTAATCCTCCGTCACCCCCACTCCGGCCCGTGAGACTAGCTGCGCTAAACGCGGCAACCAACTGAGCCACTCGGCTGGCCTTAGCTGTACGTTTTTTATTTCATAAAATTAACATTCAAGTATTCCTCTACTGAAGGAAATTTATGCTATTTGTAGATGTTTGCCATTCTGCTGCAATAAATATTTTATATACATGTCTAATATAGACTTAATTTTTTTTCCATAGGTTAGATTTCCAAAAGTAGGAATGCTGGGTTAAAGGGTATATGTATTTTGTTTAGCTTTTTTGTTAATACATTTATTTCCTCCCTTGATAAAGTGAAATTTTAGAAAATAGTAAAAAAATTAAAGAATACAAAAAAAATAAACACCCATGTGGTAACACATTGCTGTATTTCCTTCCAATTCTTGTTTTCTATACATATTTTTGATTAGTTTTATTATACAGATGTGATAATACTATATTATTTCCAGTCTTTCTTTTTCTACATAAAATTGTTACATAAACATTTTCATAATGTTATTACAACTTTGTAAACAATACTTTTAACAGCTTCATAATATCATCCATTGAACTAAACTCTCTCTTTGATTCTGTAATTCCACATACTGTGTTTCAACCTGATGGGATAATAATAGACATTTGCTGATGTATATTCATGTACAAAGATATATAGACACATTATTTGCTATAGCAAAAATTTAGAAACAACCTAAATGTTCAAACTTGGAATAGTTAAGTAAATTATGGAAGAGTACATAGGAAATAGTGAATATTACAAAATTAAAACTAGGTGTATATATTTTTATTTTCATAGGTACAAATCACTTTTCAAAAAGTTATACCAATTCGTTCTCCCAGCAGCTATGTACATAAGTGCTCATTTCCTTGCTTCCTTGCTAGCAAGTAATGTTAAGTTGTAATAGCAGCTATTATTGTTGTTAGGCACATAGTATGTACCAGGAACTATCCTAAGTGCTATACATGTATTAATGAATCTAATCTTTATAATAACTCCTGTGCAGAATTTTTTACCAAAACTAAATCATAAAGGAAGAGAAAAATCTCAAGGAAAAACAATTCCACCTAGGCAGACAAGATAAACACTTTTTCATTCTGAGTACTCAGGGTTCATATAAAGAGAATTTTATCATGGTCCCAAATCATTTTGATTGTGTTGAATTTCTTAAAGCATAAACATTTTTGGAATTAGTTGAAAGGCTCTGGAAAAGACAAGTTCTCTTAGCATGTTTTTTATTATCACTTGTTATTTAGGGATTTTCAGTGAACTCAGTCTTAAGAAGGGTTTCTGGGGCTAGGAGGCATATTATTGATATATTGTAGATAGCCCAGAAATCTGAGTTATTGTCCCAGCAGAACTAGAAATAGAACCCAAATTTATGACTTCTAGTTATCCTACCTGGAAAGCACAAATTTAATTTGCTTTTGAGGACTAATTTGCTTTAAAGGACTTCTGGTAAGAGTTTTGTAGCACTTTAAAATACAACAAAGCAAATAAAACCTAATATTACTCTGACCTGGCAATGATATCATAGAAATGCATTTTGTTTTCCCTCTCCTTGCTTAAAGCTTTTAGGAGACTTGTGAAAGTGCCTGAATTTTGCAACTCTTCCATGGTATCTGCAATCACATCACTGAAAAATTGCCTGTAAGGAGAAACAAAAATATGAGTTAATGAGATATATTTCCTTGCATTCACAAAGGGCTATGGAAGTCACACAAATTATGACCCAGAAGGAACATCATAACTAAGTTGGAATTATTTCTGGAATACTAGAGTCTTTAAGTATTAGAAAACCTATTAAAGAATTCATCACATTAATAAAGGCAAAAGGAGAAAAACCATATGATCATTGCAATAAGTGTAGAAAAGGCATTTGGCAAAATTCAACTCAACACTCTTATTTAAAAACAAACAACAGCCCCTTTCCTCAGCTGCTGCTAAGGTGCTCGGTCCTTCGGAGGAAGCTAAGGCCGCGTTGGGGTGAGGCCCTCACTTCATCCGGCGACTGCCCGGCATCGCTCGCCCAGCACTTGTCTGCACCATGGCCTCAGTCTCGTCTCAGAGCTCGCCTGCATCTACTCGGCCCTCATCCTGCACGACGATGAGGTGACAGTCACGGAGGATAAGATTAATACCCTCATTAAAGCAGCTGGTGTAAACGTTGAACCTTTCTGGCCAGGCTTGTTTGCAAAGGCTCTGGCCAATGTCAACATCGGCAGCCTCATATGACCTGCCCCAGGAGCTGGTGCTGCACCAGCAGGAGGTCCTGCCCCCTCCACCACTGCTGCCCCAGCTGAGGACAAGAAAGTGGAAGCAAAGAAAGAAGAATCTGAGGAGTCTCATGATGACATGGGCTTTGATCTTTTTGACTAAGCCTCTTATAACATGTTTAATAAAAAGCTGAACTCTGAAAAACAAACAAACAAAAAACAACAAAAACTCTTAGAAAACTAGAAATAAAAGAGAACTTCCTTAACCTGAAAAAGTTTACATACCAAGGACTGACAATCATTAAATGTACCTGTGATAATATTAATATATATATATATACATTTAAAAATATGTAAACTATATGTATTTTTTAAATAACACACATGCATACCTAATAAAAGTGTCACAATTTGCAAAAGAATAATAAACACCAAATTCAGAAGAGAGTT